CTGTTTAACAACTATGATAATAAGCAGAGGTTAAGTATCATCTCAATTTAACAGATGGGGAAACTGAAAAATAGGGAGATAAAGGTATTTGTCAAAGGTCATATAGCAGGTTATTGGCAAAGCTGTAAATATGACCCAGGATTCTTAACTGTAACTGCACTGTCCTACCTGCTAGATCACAGAGAGCAAAAATAGCTTATTAGTTAAAAACAATCACCCCTATATTTCCTCCATTTGGGTCTTCCTGATTAATTCAGTAACTACTACTTGCAATGTATGGATTTGAGCAACAGAAATTCACTGTTGCATTGCCTCTCATCTTGTCTTTAAAGGGACACTTCTACTTTTCTGTGGATTTGTCCTGCCTCCTGCAACATCAGACCCCAGGGTGCAAAAAAGTCCCAAATTAAAATTTGTGCCAGGTAAATCATATTTTTTGCATCACAACACTGTAAATGTATCATCAGACAAGATAGGAATGAATGATGTTCACCCACTTGAAAAATAAAAACGCTGACTTATTTTTTTTCATGGGCTGGTATCCCCAAAGGTGACTAATAGAAACCCACTGCAGCAGTTATTAGCCATTGTCAACATGCATAAATATCGCTTTGGTGCATCAAAAGCCTCAACACAACCATGAACCTGTACTAGGATCAGCCCCACTTGCAATAATTTGCTCAAATCTGCTGAGCTGTTTAGCCTTCTTGGAAACCAGAGAGACCACATACTCACTACTAGTCCAACGCCTAGTCTGCTAAACATGTAAGAACATTTGACTTTGATACTTGTCTCATATGAAATAACCAAATGCTGCAATAGCAGCAGAAGATGCAACTGAAAGAGCTCAAAAGGAATGCATGCTAAACAATGCTATAAATTGCAAGCCTGTGTAGAATCTCATAATAAAAATGTCTGTAGTTTGGAATTCTAATCAAAGGATCTGGAAAAGAGGCAAGCCCTCTGGCCCCATTGCCTTTGGGACGGTGAACTGTCACTGCTGGAATAAAGCAAAAGGGTGGACCCTTCCGTTTATTCTTCTACTAAATAGGGATGATGTTTACCTAACTCACAGAGGTGTTGTGAACTTAATTAATATTTGTAAAGCACCTTGAGTACCTATAGTAGTCATGAACTATTGCTTAGGATATGGTGATATTTCAATTATGCACCACACACAGATACAGGCTGCTTCAGACTCAGAGATGGTAACCAACTATTCAGATACTCCACTCTAATTATTGGTTTCAGGCCAACAGATCCAGACACCCTCATTTTTCCAGTGAATGCAAAATGTGAATCTGTGAATCAGCAGTTATCTCAAAATGTAATAGTCAGCCAGGATCCAGTCACACTCCAGTTCATCTCCCCACTCAGTCCTGCAAGATTCTGACCAAGCCAGAAATTTCACCACTGAAATAGCAAACCTAAATGATGAAGGGGGGCATCTAAGTAGAAATATTGATGAACTAAGATCTCAACCACATTTTTTTTCTTTTTAAACTTCTCCCCCCTTCCACTCAGATTGACTTTAATATCTTTGAAGTATCTAAGCAGAGAGGATCACTAAAATATGTGAGGGGAGACACTCAGTAACTTCTATGTTATTTTTTTCTTTATTTTTCATGTATAAAGTGATTCTTTTTAACAAAGGTGATACCCAGAGCAGGAGAGAAGCAAGGTAAGAGTGGAAGCCTTGAAATTAAAATCCCTGACAGGACACAACACCACAATTAAGTAAGTTAACAAACACAACTGCATTTAGAGAAGCAATAAGAAAACGTATCTTATCCTTGAGTGAGAGTAACATCAGAGAGGTTAAAGTAAAAACCACAAACTAACTCTTTCCTGCTAAGGAAAAGTCTTTGCAACTGATCAGCCTTGCCTGCATGCATACTAGCCTCCTATTTGTTAAGCTTTCTCCCTCCTTACAGTCATTCTAATATTTATACTATTTGGTCAGAATAAACCCCCTGCAAGGCACTTTGAGTGCAAGATCAATCCATAAGCCAGTCTCTCTGCGGAGGGGTGCCAAGATTATTTGCTTTCCAATTACCTTTTAACCTTCACACATATGAATGCTCCCCCAGATCTCTCTTTCCCCCATTCTGTTGTTTTTAAGGAAGAATGAAGGGAAACACTCTCATACCCATGCTCACGTTCCTTTGGGTCAGCCTTGACAGTCATGTTTTGACTCAACAGCTTTCAGGGATAAAAAAAAGCAGCACTGACAAGAAATTTGTGACTTCCCAGCTAGGTTGTTTTGGAAGGAAATGTGCTCTGCCCTTTCGGGAAGGGGAAATTGCTTTGTAAGTCTAGACCGAGCCCTTCCCCTTCCATGTCTATTTCAATTCATTTAAGACAGAAAACAAAAAGAAGGTGGAGAACTGAAAGGACCATTGGGCAGAGTTTCCAAGCTCAAAACAGAATTATATGTGGGTTTAAAGAGTGCTTTGGCAGCCCAAACACTGATGAAGCATCAACCAGGGAGAGGGGAGGAGAGACAGGGAGAATGAAAATACTAGGAAATTAGAATGGAATCTAGGACAGGGATTGTGGTAGCATCTGCTATAGTCAAAGTGGAAAAGGAGAGAGGTAAAAAGACAGAACAGGTGGCAGGCAGGCAGTCTGGCTATAATATCAGACTCGTTTGTCTTTATATCACTACAAAGAAGGCAACACCAGAAGTGAATGTCTAGAACTGCGCAGGTCATGGAGAAAATGTAAACAAGATACCAGCAAATTCAATGCATTTGAAGGCAATATTACTGATGAATACCCAACAGCTAAAGATGTGGTAAAGAATAAAGACATGATGACACCAAGCAGCTGTCAGATAGGATCAGAACAGCAGGAACCTTGAAACAATTAATCAGATGAAATTAGATGAATTTTAAGAGAAGCCCAGAGGGGCCAGATGAGTTAAGATGTGGGAGAGGCCACAGAGAGCATCTTGAGAGTTGCACTGAGGCCCAGAAAGAATTAAAACAAAGGCTCAAAAGGAAAAGAGGGGCCTGGAGTGCCTTGAGACAGTAGCACAACTGGTGACTAAAAATGCAGCACAGGTTGAAAGTGTGTTCCAATGCAAGAAGCAAACTTGGAGCAGCAGCAAAGACAAAAGAGTGGGGGAAAAGCAGCCCTGGAAACCAGGAAATCTAGAGGGGCCTAGTGGAGAGCAGATAGCGAATCGATGTGGCCCCAAGAGATTTAGAAAGAGGTTTAGGATACTGTCAGAAGAATCTGTGAGTCAAAGCAGGAAGGGAAGCATATTGACAGGGGTTTTGGACCCAATTGAGAGACAGGGAGAATGATCATTTAAATTAAACTAATTTGTAGAGAGTCATTGATCCTTACAAACTCCTGTTTTATTTACTGTTTATTTTTATGTTTAGGCATTTTATGTTTATGGTTTTCTGTGTTTGCTTTTATTTTAATTTTTTTATTAGGGTTTTTTGGGTGGGTGAAGGAGGTGAAGGGAGTACACAGTTTGTGAAGATCTTGATCATTTTCATATTTAATACCTTGAGCTCCCTTTATGGACATAGAGGTAGTTGGCACTGTGATATTTTTCATACGGGAAAACAAATGCAGGCCTAGAAAGCAGCAGTGTTGTGAGATGAGTACTCAGGGTCAAAGTTCAACCAGGGCCCTAGGTCTAGGAGAGGTTTTCTTCTTACTGGGAAGCAAATTAATATACATGATTGGTCTCTCACCTTTCTGGTCTCTCACCTTTCTAGCCCCTCCCTTAATAAAAAATAAAAAACAAACCAGTAATAATTTTGCAATACCCTTAGCCTTGTGCTTTTAGCCAATAGCATATTTCTTAGTTGTGTGTGTGTGTGTGTGTGTGTGTGTGTGTGTGTGTGTGTGTGTGTGTGTGTGTGAGAGAGAGAGAGAGAGAGAGAGAGAGAGAGAGAGAAAGAAAATCTGGCAGCACAACATTTAAGAACTCTTAGGGAGAACTGCTGCAAATGCCAGCTAATATAGCACATTTCTTATCCTGAGGTTGCACTGGATTACAGCCCAGTTTCCTTAAGTTCCAAAATAAGAAGGGGGGGGGGGTAGATAAAACATTTTTTCTTGACTAAGTGCCAAAAATGATATTTTCCCTCCTTATGCAAATTTCTCTGGACTAGAGATGGGATTGATGATAATACCTCTGAGTCATCATCTCCTTTCCCTGAATCAGAACATCATGTAGATGATGTAGTGTTTTCAGTACTGACACTTTAAGTGGCCTGGCTCTCTTCCCTTCTAAATCGCAGAGTCAGGTTCGGGAGGCCAGTTTTGTAAACAAGGTTAGCAAATTGCTATTAAGTTGGTCAATTCCAGTAATCAGCATCAAGATAATGACAGTCACTCACTCACTTTTCCCTTCAACAGACCAGAAATAGTTGATCAGCTAAATCCTTCCCAAGAAGTGATTCAGCACAAGTAAATGCAATTAGGTCGCAGTTATTTTTTTCTTAAAGCTGGAAACTACACCTGCATATATAAAATCATTTAAACTAGACATACCCCTCTAGCTTTAACATTGGGAGACACCTCTAAGCCTATCAAAGGTCTTAAGGAATATATTTGCAAAGTAAATAATGCATGTGCTAACTTTCTCGTTAGTCAGACTGGCAAAATAATGAATTCTATTTATCAGGTGCTACCTGTCAATTTTGGCCTCATGTTGTTTACAGCATACCTGTGATTTACTGTAGGAAAAATATGGATTTCCCTAATGATCACAGAAAATTCTGCTGAATTTCATAACACATTACTGTGGGGACTAGTAAATCAAAACACATAAAAGTAGCCTTCTTGCTTATCTTAGCCATCTGCAAAGTTTCATACAGCTAAAAGCTATTTGATGTCATGTCAAATGGCAAATACGCTTCCCTGAAGTAGCAAGTTATTTAAATATGTACGCTGTACTACCCTAATACATAACACCTAATTAAGCAATTTGGGAACTCCAACTGGCAGGCACAACACTGGCATACTGTACTTACAGAGCAGAGTATGGAAAAGAGCTAAAAATGAAGATGTGGTATGCTGCTTGCCGCTCTTGGTATTTCAAGGTTGCCCATCACAGTGGTATCTAAAGCTGCTGGTATCTTAATGCCAGCTTGCAGATAGAGGCCCTTTACCACGTTCGAAGACATCACCTATAAAAAATTAAAGCAATGGTCATTTAACACCCCGAGAGACACCACTTTCTTCTATACTGTGGTTTGTCTCTACCCCACTCCCTCAAAGTCTCAAACAACAGACTGCTGCAGCAGTAAACACTTCAGTTTCAACCCAGTCAGCATCAGGAGGCACTTTTCTTAGCCATTTGAAGGACACTTACCCAAGGAGGGAAGCTGACAGAAAATGGCAACTTGCTTTATCAAAATGAGTCTATTTAACTATAAGGGTTGGGGGAAAGCAGATTTTCTGCCCCGCGTTCACTCAGCATGAGACAGTAAAAGACAGTGAAGATCAGTCATCTCTATGAGTGATGGAGCTGCTAAAACTGAAGGAGTACTGAATACAAAGCACAAAAGATTTAAAAAAGAAAGCCTGTGTAAAACAAAGGGATCCTGGCGACAAAATATGAAAACGGAGCTTGAATCCTTTCCTTAGATTACACTGTTCCATGTTTAAAAATAAATATATATATATATATATATATCAGGTTAAAATGTTTTTGTTTTTAGCTTTTACCTATTTATATAATATACCATATGCCAAAAGCAGAAAATAGATGTGACAGCATATGTATATCTGTTGCTGCTGTACATGGAAATTATCATAAGTAATTATTTAAATAGTTTCATTATATATTATTCCCCCCACCCCCAAATACACAACTTTGACTAACTATATCATGGGTCCAAAAATAGTTCTGCACTATTGACCGGATTAAAACAGGCAAAAGATTACTGTGCATATTTTACTTAAAAATTAGATCAAACTACCTGAGTCCCTACTGCCAGCACACACACTTTGATAACATTCAGGTGACATTTTTTAAATTTATAAAAATAGGAGCTATTTATGTTCTATAAATGAGCATGGAATATAACCTTGCACACTGCAAGCTTTTACAGCTCACATACATTCTGATGTCACTAGCAAAACACAGAGAGAGAGAGCTGCAAAGTTCTGATCCAGATCCAATCTTCTTTAAAGCTCAACATGTGTTCAGATGTAGGTAGGGTGACCAGATAGCAACTGTGGGAAAAAAAGGACAGGGGTGGGGGGTAATAGGCACCTATATAAGAAAAAGTCCCAAGAAATGGGACTGTCACTTTAAAAACGGGACATCTGGTCACCCTAGATGTAGGTGTCTGAGCTGGATCATTAAACGTTGGCCAGTGGCAAAGTTCAGATCTGGGTCCCAACTTCTGCAAAGTTCAGGTGTTTTTGTTCACTCTTATCTCGAACACAAGTAAATAAGAGTAAGACTAAAACACTCAGTACTTACTCAGCTCTTTACAAACATTAATTAATTAATGGTATCTCTTTGTTTATATTGTCACGAGAACACGAGAATACAATGAAACACATCCTTGTATAGTTAGGTGTATTAAGGTATAGCTCCGCTGCAATTAAAAACCCGTGGCTGGCCTGGCAGGGCTTGGGCTGTGGGGATGTTTAACTGCAGTGTAGACATTCAGGATCCGGCTAGACCTTGGGCTCTAGGACCCTGCAAGGTGGGAGGGTCTCAGATTTCAGGCTGCAACCCGAGCCAGAACCTCTACATCGCAATTAAATAGCCCCTTAGCCTGAGCTTGGGTCAGCTGGAATGGGCCAGCCGCAGGGTCTAACTGTAGTGTAGACATACCCTTAAAGTCAAGAGATTTTTTTTGTGGTCACAATTCTTTCTTCTGTTCTCTTTCTCACAAATAAGTTACACTGTTATAAGAACACTTTATTAGCAAATATTTCATTTCATTTAAAATACCCTGACCGTCAACACTACAAACCCAAATCTGAACGAGCCACTAGGGTTTCTTTGAGAAACCCAAAGCTGATGATGCGTGAGACCTTGAGTTTAGAAGACTTTACAGAATGCCCCACAATGATATGGGATATTACTTTGTTTGGTAGGTTATGTTTTTACACAAGAGGGATTGGTTTACCTCTTCCAGCATTGATTGAACAGCAGTTGTATTTGAGACTCAAGCAAAAAGGATAACATACAATAAATAGTCAACACAAAAAGCTTCTGTTTCTCCTGGGAAACTCTACAAGTTTAATGGAATTCCAGGTTACATTCAGCTTGGAAAGTGGCATAGGTCTGTACTTCAGGAAAAGCAACTTCTCTGAAAGCTTCTCAAGAACTTTAATACTTCAATGTCCTTATTCAGCAAAGCACTTACATTCATGCTTAACTTCAAGCACATTAGTAGTAATTCCTTCTCTACTGTGCAAAGAATTTAAGCAAGTGCTTAACTTTAAACACATGCTTAAGTGTTTTGCTGAATCAGAGTTTTAATGAGGCAGGTTAAGGGGCCTTTGAAAGAACAAATATCCAGGAATCGGCCAAAATTGTTTGTTGACTGCAGAAATCTTAAGTCCTGCATCTGAGTTCATAATAGGCCATGCCTGCTGGTGACCAGCTCTTATAACATACAGCAGTCAGCTGCTTTTTTTGGTACAGTACAATGTATTATTCATAGTACGCTATCCTATTCATTGGGAAAAAACAAATCCTGCAATTCAGGTTGCTGCCTTCTCTTAATGTACTAGTTTATATATATCTGGCTATTAAGCAAAACAAATTTTAAAAATCTTCATTTTAGAGTCATCTATAAACTTATACTAAAATTATTTACTTAAGAGATAAGGTTTATGGTGGAAGAACATATGAGGCAATAAATGTCTTATAGCTTGTTAAACTTGGAAGCAAAGCTGAGACCTTTGATAACTGTAAAAGCAGTTTCTAGTAAGGATATTCTAACATCCTCTTAATTCTAACATTCTCATAACACAACAGGATTAGAAAAATATAGACATCCTCATTGTTTCCTTCTTGTTGTTTCACCTTTTGGAGTTGCATGGATTCTGTTTGGACCCATCATATCTTCTGACTTTCTGCTAATGCTGAGATGGACGATTTGTGGCTTGGGTAACCGAGCAAGGCTAGGTTTTAAAAGTGCAAATTTGTTTGATGTTAAGTGAGTAAATAATTGAGCAAAAGAGTGTCCTGAGTGGAAAAACTTGTGATGTGATTGGAGACTAAATTTCCTAAAATAGGAGCCTAAATATGTCCTTTGAAAAGTTAACGGATCAGTTTCTGACATGGTTCAAGCATGTGCAAATCATTTGACTTCAAAGAAGTTGCACCCATGTACACTGGATAGGAACTTAGTACTAAATATTCAATTACCCAATTTCATGCACATAAACATTACTCTGTGGGCAGTAAGTTAGATACCTACTGAGGGAAAAAATTGGTCTGGTAAGTCCAATAAGTACTTCAATGCAATTTCTGAAGAGAGTGATAGATTCTTCTAGGCTGTGATTGGGTGAAATTCTTCTCTTGTCATACAATGCTGGATTATAGCCATTTAGATAAAATGAAGGAATGTAGCATATAAATTGAAAATACTGCAAGAATACACTCTCTTGGTTTTTTTCACAGCATCTCCATTTCAAAATAAAGTACCCACAAAATGAAAAGCAATGACATATAGGAAATCATAGTTGACATGAGACATCAAAACACTAAGATGACAGAGAGTTTGTATTTTGTCTTTTTGGAGAAAGGTTTAGTTTTTAAGTAAGTAGTGGATATTTAGCATTTTGGGGACATTCATCATCACATAACTATTTGGAGGCAGCTAAAATTTGGGACGAAACCACTTGTCAGCATCACTGTAGTCCAATTTCTAAAATCACGTTCCCTGTTCTGCTAATGTGTTGTAGCACCATATTACATTTTAGAGAAATCATGTGGCTTTCTGGTTCTTTGACCATGGTGAATTGTCCCATAAATTACATTTAAGAATGTAAAGAGGTTCTGCTTTTTTGTTACCACAACATTTAGGTTTCTACTTTCAAAGTCAAGCAAATTCTGGGAGACTGAACTTAAACCAAGTCTGAATGCTTGTTGTTTTCTCACTCCACAACCAATATCCCAACTGGAACATCAATGATGACTCTTCTCCCATAAATCTCAGCTATTCCCTTCCCATTTCCTTGCATTTCTGTGAACAAATTGTTGCTTCAAAGCAAAAAGCTGCATCCTGCATAACTAATCAGCATAACCTCTGTCCTTTAAACCTACACCTCCCACCAAAAAAATATAGTCTCCACAATACTCCTACACAATGACTGCAATTATTTAACCACAAAAGATTTTTCTTCTTCTTCAAGTTACTGTGGGAAGGCCTATGTTTTCACACACATTTTCAACTAGAATTAAGTAAATTATTGCTTTTTTAAAAGAACTGCAAAGGTACAAAATATTTAGGGCTTGGGAACAGTAAAAACAGATCAGGCAATGTGAAAGTAGTTCATTATGAAGTGATACTGATTGCTCCGGAGTTTATGTTGAAACTAGCTCTCCATTACAATTTTCAACATTCCCTGCAACTTTCTAAAAAACTGTGCATGCTACATCTCATTCTCATCAACCACAATTTTTCTAGCACATTTGGAAGTGGCTGGCTCTTCTCTTCCTCTCCACCTTTTAGAGGGGTCTCTTCCCTCCCCCGCTCCGCATCATGAGAAAGGTGTGTCCATAGTGGAAGACTTTTTTCTCCCTTGATTGCAAGGAATTGGCCACACAGACACTATCTGCTTTATTCATTTTTACAGACTAGTTTCTTTCATGAGGAATCCACAGGCTTAAGTTCTGACTATGAACACATGTCCATCTAAGTGCATGGGAATATGTCCCCATAGGTCACAAACATATGGTTGTAATGATACTAGAAAGCATAACTGGCCATAGCGTTTTAGAATGGGCTTGCAAAACAATTTTCCTTCCTCCCCCACTCATTGTTTTATTATAGTGTTGCCAACTCTCAATTTTAATGCAAATCTCATTACATTTGATGTTTAACTTGAAGCCCCAGCTCCTGGAGACAAATGCTTATGTAAGAATTTCATAATTTTTAAGCCAGTCTCGTGATTGTTTGACCATTTGAGGTTGGCAATACCATAATATTAT